ACTAACAGTTAATGTCCGATAAATCAATATAGACTGCTGAGAATAGAAAATAAATCTTAGAAAGTGAACTACAGTATATATCAAATTGATAAAGGAATTGTTAGATATTAATGAAATAGAGTCTGTTACATTTCCATTGCTACCTGTCATCACAAATTACCTGTCAGAGTAATATTAAATGTTAATTAATCAATCGATAGGTATTATTTGCTGTATGCACTATACACTCACTAAGATTATTTGCACTTGCCATCACACTATTTTTGATGCTGCAGAGGTTTTCGCCTTTGACTCGTGAGGCTCAGAACGGTCCTCCCTGTGCTGAGGCAGACGGTGAGAGCTGATAACTGTTCACGTAGATTTTTGTTGAAGCTGTGAGAAATGCTTGTGCATTGTTTGTTTTGTTCTTTCAATTTCTGTCATGAATTTACTAATTTCTTCAGAGTGCCATCCATTGTAACTATAGAATGCAGGGGGACAGTTTTTATTCAATGTTGGGGATTAAACCCACGTGCAATAAAAACTCTCTGCGCACGGCTTCATAGCTTATAAATATTTGACTCAGTGTGTGCTGGAGATTAAATGGAATCTTCATGGAGACAGCTGGTTAGGTTAAGAGAAGAGGACACCGGTTAAATATTAATATGCAATATTATATTAATAACTAAATTAATAAACTTTCTCTGTTACACTCAGTTTTACCAGCTTTTCTACTGATCGTCAAAAATATACACTCGTCACACAATTTGTCGTCTTTTTATTCCTGTTTCAGCTGCAGCTGTCTCCTCAGAGCTTTGATGCTGGATGAAGTGGCGTTGCCTTTTATTTGGTGGAATAATGGACATAGCCTCATGTTTACCTTTTTACTGACACTGTGTTTGGACTTGTTTTGATCTGATCCCATCCAATGAATTACTTCCTTGATCAATCCGACTCAGGCGATTAGATTACTATAGGGTGTGTGAACTGTGATGATTGTCAACCGCTTCTGTTTCTCCCTGTTGTTGTGAGAATGCAGATTATTTAATAAGCAGCTCATGTCTCACTTCATTTTATGACTGTTTTCATTTTTTATATTCTTTGAAATTAAAGTTTGCTTTGACTCAAAAAGTTTGCAAAAACACATGACAATATGATGTCCCTAAAAGTAAATGATAACGTCAACCCATAACCAGCTCTGCTCCATTGTTTGTTTTCCGATCTTTTTTAGAAGATAATTACACCATGTTCACCTCATGTGTAATAGTATTACCTCTTATCACAGCCTGATGAATCCCTGCTCTTCTCTCACCTTTGTATTCTGAATGATCTAAATCATTTGATTGAAAGTAACTTTGATTTTGACCTGGCCTCTGAACTTAAAGACATTTAACATTGTTTCGTTCCTTTTGTCTGGTTAAAAGTACCATCAGTGATCTAAATGTAAACAGAAGCTGAACTCCAACACAGTATCACATCATCAACTGTGAGTTATTGATGTCGTTAACACTGTACTTTAACCTCTTTATTTATTATATGCTACAGGCTACATTATATTATGGTTTGTTTACATCAATACATTCTATACATGTGGCAGGAAAATATGCCCATGTTTCCAAATATGATCAGCTTAACAAAAAAGTGAGATGTTTTTAATGAAGTCAAGTACTTGAATGACCAACAACTTTGAAATCTGCTTTATCTCCATGAACATTTAGAAAACACTATCACTGCTGTTGGGGAAAAAGCTTGTTGTTAATGAGTGTCATGTCGGTGAATACATTTAGTGGATGATTTAGCCCAAATTTTGATTAATAACAAGACAATATTTTTTTATTTTACCAGAGCACCCACCGCAAGGGAGACAAGTTTCATTGAAAAGATGAAGAAAACGGTGAGTGACGTTGCTTCCTTGCCACTGACGTCTTCACATCACTGGTTAATTTGAGTGTTTGGTTTTGTCTTTCTATCATAGATACTTTCCTTTTTGTTGCTGATGTTCCAAAACATGAATTCAGGTTTGAGAACTGGTTTTAAAAGGAGTTTGGAAGCCAGTGTTCAACAGTGTCAATGTTGACGCCCGATTTCCTCCAGTAAATGGCTGTCTGCTGTCAGCACACTATAAAAAAGACTTTTCCTCCTCTGTTGCTCTCTGACTATGATGAGTGTACTTCTTCTTCCAGCTAATGTATGCAGCTTTATATCTGGAAGCCCTGTTTTGATGCTCCTCTGTTTTCAAGCCAGCCTTGAGAAAATACTTTGGTTTTGAATCATGTGGTTTTGCAGCAAATAGTTCAGATACCGTGATGGTGGCAGAACAGAGGTTTGGCCACCAGTGCTATTTGATTTAGTCTGTTTACCGGTTTCTTATTATGAATTATTATGGGAACATTGTATGCACAGATAAAGCAGCTAATAATTCTTAGAAATGCATGTACAGATGGAGTATTTGCTTATGTAAAGATGAGAACCCTAACCCTAACCCTAACCCTTGGAGAAGAAGTGTGATGTAATTTAAACTGAAATTTGTTCAGTCTTTTTAAAAACGTTTCACTTTATGCCGCTTCTAGTTGTGTTAGTATGATCTCCCTGCATTTAGGCATGTAGACAAAAATACATTTTGAGTATATTTTAGGTATATTTTAATCTGTTATACTCTGATACTGTTTCTTAATAAAAATAATCGTTAGATCAAAGGAGGGCGAGGACCTTTTTTTCCAAGAGCCGTTTAAATTTTTACAACATTCTTTTAGGACCATACTGCGTTACTGAACACATGTACCACACAAACCTCTCTAATGATGCCTTGAACTGCTCCTCTGTGGGGAGGTGTCTGACGATCAGATGGTTCTGACTACTTGCAGCTGGTATTCCAGGTTTGGCTCAGTCAGTGTGAGCAGAACTGAAGAGGCAGTTTTGAAAAAGAGCTGCTCACAGAAGTAATCTGTGTCAAATAGAGATCATAATGGGGAAATCCTCAGGACGTACATAGAGTTAATAGAACTCCAGCAGGGAGAGGTTATTACACTGAGCTTTGAGCTTGTCTTTCCTCTGCAGTTCAATAATTTCACGTTGATCAGATAAAACAGGTTCCTTTTAGTAACCTTGTCTCAGTAAATGTAATTTGCAGAAAGCATTAGCATATTTAAATATCATATCAGGCTTTAAAGATCTCTGTCAGAACTGCTGTCAACTCCAGGTTTTGGTTTCTTAGCTATTAGCTCGCTCACTACAAACCTTACCTGCATTGCCTCTGTCAGAATAACGTCTTGTTGAAGCTGCTTGTTTGGCACAAAAACTATTAAGCGTTATCTTTCTTTATCTTTATTCAGCCACATTTTAGCTTATCCTTATTAGCTCCATGTTTCCACCAGTAATAATTCTCAAGATTGGACTTTGTCATCATTGCAAGTGTGTCCCAAGAAATAATTTCACCATGAAATAAATCTTTTGTCCATTTGTCTTGGAGAGCTCGAGATTCTGCATCTGCTATTCTTTTCCTGAGTCATGCTTTTGACTCAGCACAAGACAGAACTGTTGCTTTTACCCTAATTTTGACCTGACAGGCAAACATCTGGAAGAAACCACACTGAAGGATATGTTGTTTACTTTTGTCACAGACTAAATTATTGCCATCATTATAATTGTTTTTATTGCCTCATAGCCCAGATTACACAGCCTAGATACCAGATGGCACACAACTGTGTCAGACCAAACAGACAGTTTGGATGTATTTACAGTCGTGGGAGAATTATTTTTCATGCAGCATGTAAACTATTTTCTGGTGATTTGTTACCAGGGCAAGAACATCATTGTGTTCTACGGCTCCCAGACGGGCACAGCGGAGGAATTTGCCAACAGACTGTCCAAAGACGCTCAGCGCTATGGCATGAAAGGAATGGCTACAGATCCAGAGGAGTATGACATGGTAATTTGAATCAGTGGAACAACATACATACCACTGTAGTGAAATGTAACGGAGGTTCTTCTCATTTTTCTGGATGATGCTCTGAGTAACTGCCAGTAAATGTTGTTTCATAGTTTCATGGAAGACGGATCACTGCAGTGCTGGAGACTGGAAAAAAAAAAATACAGTTATTGTGACATAGCAATAATTTAATTAACACATAAGTGATAATCTTATTCTCCTGCACCATCTAGAATGTTTCTATGCCAGGTCATATTCTAAAATAACTTTATAACTGTCAGGAAAATGTCTCTTCTAATTATACATTTGATCTCCAGACTAGACAATTTAACCCAAGAACACAGACTCCTGTCTAAATGTGAATGAAGTGTAAATGTTGCCATACTTGTAGAAGTATAGATACAATTCTTTGATCACTCCTGTATATGTAATCATTTCCACGTTTACTGATAAGGCAACAAGATTTTCAGCTCTGAGATTTTCATGTTCTGACGCCGATTTCTCATATTCCAGGGTGAACTGTCCCGTCTGTCCGAGATTAAAAACTCCCTGGCCATATTTTGCATGGCCACCTATGGGGAAGGAGACCCAACTGATAACGCCCAGGACTTCTACGACTGGCTGCAGGAAAACGATGATGAGGACCTCTCTGGACTAAACTACACTGTGAGTCCTAATAGCCAAGCTTTTTGTTTTTTAATTCTACAAGCGTTTGTGTTTTTGGAGAGCAAAAAACTAAAGGTTATTTAATTTTTTTCTTCAGTTAATTTATTGTATCACAAAACATCAGAAAACAGATAAAATTACTCCAGAGCCCAATGTTAAAAATTTTTTAATGACAGATGCTTGATAGTTTGAAAGAGGCTTGAGTTATAAAATGTTTATCGAAATAGCAGCCAATTAATGTTGTATTGATCAACCAAAGCTGGGCTCAGACTACAGGAATCTTGGGCCAATTTGGCCTCCCTGAGAATCGGAGGGGAAACCTGGCCTGAAACCTTGTCAGGCATTGATGTTCTGCACTGATTATCTGGAAGTGGGAGAGGCTTTATGGCCAGACTTAAACCTCCTGTGTCTGCAGAATCATTAGGGCTGCCCTGATGCTTACGTGGTGATAGGCCATTATTTTGTAATCTTGTTATGTGAGCATTTTAAAGATCATAGAAAAGAATATCTTAAGGTTCTCATTATTTTTTCATGATGCAACCAATTTTAAAAGTTTTTTTTTTTAAAACTCAAAAGGGTTGATCCCAGCTTAACTGGGTAATGAAATCTAGTTTACACTCATGTTGCATGTCATCACAAGATAGATTTTGTAAAGTTAAATTACATGAACTCAGTTAATCTCATAGATTAAACATACATTTCAATTAACTACATTTTTCAGCTTCAGTTTTGCTCCTCACATTCATCTCTACACTGTATTGATAGAATAGCCACACATCAGGTTTGAGAAGATTGTGAATGATTTCCCTTTGATATTTTTAAGAGGAACTGTTGCATGGAAATTTCAGTCGCTGGCTCACATTATTTGAATGAAAAGTACAGGCCTTATTTGCGATACTCCCGTAATGAACATAAAGGATGTGAGTCCAATTTCCATTCAAATTGTGTTCATTGTTGTTCACAAGCTGTCCTGTGTGAAGCAGCATTATTGTGTGTAGTAACATTATTGTATTATGTTAGGTTGCATTGCTTTCATTTTAAGCACGCAGGCTTCATAGGAATGAACTGCGGAATGATCTGGCTTTGTGGGCATCATGAAAGAAAAGGCTTTGTTATTTGTGCGTACGTGCGCCATTATTGTGGTGCAGCACCACTGGCCTCATTTGAGTGAGGGACTTGTCATGTTTGTGGGTTTTTATCTGTGTTTTTATGTATAGTCTTCTCTTTTTCCGCATAATGTTTTCACCATTCAACAGAGAGCAAGTCAAAATATCTTCTCTGTTGAACTGATCGTCTACACAAGACAAGAGATTAATTGTTAATCATATATTTTCATAACATTCCTCATGTATCCTTGGTTCTAGTTGAACTGCTTCTTCAGTTGAAAATTTCGCCAGTTGCTGGCTAATAGTTTCTTGTTGCACCCTTTTCTCTCTCCAGGTATTCGCTTTGGGCAACAAAACATATGAACACTACAATGCAATGGGGAAATATATTGACAAAAGGCTGGAAGAACTGGGAGCCAAGCGCATATTTGACCTTGGCCTGGGAGATGATGATGGCAAGTAAGTGACCAGTTAATTCTTAGTGTAAAAATAAGTGCTGAGCTCATGTGCTCTGTATATTGAGGTTTAGAGTGAAGCACAGGTTACATGACATTAATCACAGCCTGTGATAGTTTAAGCACATGATGGAAGGCAACTGAACGGCAATGCTCTGATGGTCACATAAATGAAATTTGATAAGCTATTAAACTTACTGAACATGAAAAGGGTAATTAGAAAAGGCTGTCGAATGTTTGTACTTAGTAAAGGATAAATTAATAATGATTTGAACAGATGTTAATTCAAACACTGTGTTTGTGTTTCAGTCTGGAGGAGGACTTCGTCTCATGGAGGGAGCAGTTCTGGCCGGCCATCTGTGAACACTTTGGAGTGGAAGCCTCAGGAGATGATTCAAGGTACAGACATTTTAGACCACAATTTTGTGCATTATTTTACCAATATACACTGCCTAGTGTGTTATTCCTGTTTTATCATCCCTTTTCTGTTTCCTAATTCCTAATGCAGAATTGCTTCATAGAGTCTCTCAGCTCAGGTTTAAAAAAAGAAATGAATCCCAGACTGAAGTAATAAGTTGATCACCAGACAGTTATGTGCAACGGTGACACATTAGCATCACATGCACTAGTTTAAAGTGTATGCAGAGAGTCTGAAGATGCTAACTTAACTTAACGTTGTATTTCTTCACAGTATACGGCAGTACGAGCTAAAGGAGCACCCTGACATCAAAATGAACCAAGTGTACACAGGAGAGATTGGCCGCATAAAGAGTTTTGAGGTCCAAAAGCCGTAAGTTCTCTGTTCGCTACCAGGACTCATTCATCATAGAAGTGTTGTATGCTTAGTCTCTGCTCACATTTCATCTACATTTAACTACAACAACAATCTAGTTGCAAACTTTTCACAAATGTTACTGTATAAAATGAGGCATTGCTACATTTTAACCAAACCTTGTTTTCTTTATTGAATAATACATTTTTCTCTTCTAATGTATTTTAATCAACCGTTTGTTTTAAAATTCTCATTTGAGTGTCTCTCTTTAATACTTACAGGCCCTTTGATTCGAAAAACCCTTTCCTGGCCCCAGTCACTGTCAACCGCAGACTCAATAAAGCTGGTGATAGACATCTCATGCACCTTGAACTGGACATAACAGGCTCCAAGATCAGGTGAGACTGGTTGAATCCACAGAATGTAGGAAATTGTTGGATATTTACCTCCGTAGAGAAGGTTGTTTTCACCCATTTGTTTGTTTGTTTGTTGGTGTGTGTATTTGTTTGTTTGGATCGGTGGAAGATGCAGTATGTGGTCAGGGAAAAATGCATTGAATTTAGTGCAGCTCTATATCAGGGGGCGGCTCCAGAATTTTTTTTTTTTTTTTAACTTAAACATTGGGGGTTTTTTGTGTTGTTTTTTTTGGGCATTTCCACATTGAGTGTGTAGAATTTGGTGCAGCTTGAGTTTTGGTGGACTGTTGGGCTTCGGTGGACTTATGTGCACTATTAACTACTCCTTTTTTCCTCTTATTACCTATAGACCATGACAAAAAACCTGTAAATGCCTTTAAGGAAAACTATTTATTGTACAAGAAAAAACCATAAGAGATAGTGTGTGTTTAGTCAGTGGTATCAGTTGTGTTAATGAGGGTGTAGGGGGATATATATATATATGCTGAGGCAGGGAAGAACAAACCATATTGGAAGCTGAGGTGTGTATAACCTTTTACATCACAGGGACAACATACACAAGGCAGACAGGGACCATCACAATGCTACCTGAAGCTTTGTGAATACAGGTCAAAGTCTAATTATGTTCTGTGATTTCAGATATGAGTCTGGAGACCACGTGGCCATTTTCCCCATCAATGACTCTGCATTGGTGAACAAGCTGGGACAAGTCCTTGGAGTAGACCTTGATGTGGTTATCTCGCTCAACAACCTTGATGGTATGGCATTGACAGTCTCACGCACCTTGACTTACCAGCTTGTCCCTCACAATAAATCCTCCCTTGATATGTCCATCAGGGAGTATTATTGCACATGAAGGTCATATTATGTCACTGCAGTTACACCTTATTGCTCTAATATAAATGGTTGGCTTTTTTTGTGATAAGTTGAATAAGTTTCCTGTCATGAGGAAGATGATTCCATATAAATCGTGATTGCGTAACATCATTTTATGAAGCATTTTAACTCAAAGTTGCATTCTAACAACAGATGGGGTACATTAGCATAAACAGCTGTGAACTTACCAGAAGTAATTTTGACAGTTCAACATCGAACCATAACTCGCTTGGAGCTGTCTCCTGCAGTGGAGCGCCGTCAATGTCTCCTCTTATTTTTCCATTTCCTTCACTTATGAACGTCTATTGAAGTTATCGTTCCAACCAGCTAGTCCGGCCAAACTGACTTGTCACTTTCCAATAGCAAATCTTTCAAATGGCAGTGCTGCTTAGAGGGCTTATATAACCTTTTGTTTATAAGCCAAAATACACAACAATGCAAATATGGGCTGAGAGTGTTTGTGTCATGTTTGTAATTATCTGATTGGTCCATGAAATACACTTTTAAGTGATACTTGATATTTTCTGTTATGTGCTGACAATGAACAGTAGAATTTCATGCTGCCAAAAGATAAAGTTGTTTTCATTGTGTTTTTCCAGACGAATCCAACAAGAAACACCCTTTCCCCTGCCCCACCAGCTACCGCACGGCACTTACTCATTACCTGGACATCACACACCCGCCTCGCACCAACGTCCTCTACGAGCTGGCACAGTACGCCTCTGACCCCAAAGAGCAGGAGAACATGCGAAAGATGGCTTCCTCCTCCCCCGAGGGAAAGGTCAGTGATGAGTGGTGAAGAGTCATCACATGTGGTGTTATAATTAATTCCAATAGCTGCACTATATGATTGACATCCCTTTTCTATGTTTTCCACGTTTACTTCATGTCACTGTATTTCTTCCTTACAGGCTCTCTACCAGAGCTGGGTGTTGGATTCCTGTAGAAACATCCTCGCTGTCCTGGAGGATATGCCTTCTTTGAAACCTCCCATCGACCACCTGTGTGAGCTACTGCCTCGTCTTCAGGCTCGCTATTACTCCATTTCCTCCTCTTCTAAGGTAATCCTTGCAGAGAAAATAAATTCAAGTAATTTCTATTTAATTTACAGGAAAAAAAAACTAAATTGTGCTTATAAAAGAAATGTGAAAAAAATGGATTAAAGGCTGTTAATAACACTCTTCTGTTATGTAGGTTCACCCAAACAGCATCCACATCTGCGCTGTGGTGGTGGAGTACGAGACCAAGACTGGCCGCATCAACAAAGGAGTTGCCACCAACTGGCTTAAGAATAAACTGGTCACGGACAATGGCCACAAATCCACCATCCCCATGTACATCCGCAAGTCTCAGTTCCGCCTGCCCTTCAAAGCCACCAACCCAGTGATCATGATCGGACCTGGGACAGGAATTGCTCCCTTCATGGGCTTTATCCAGGAGAGGGGCTGGCTCAAACAGCAAGGTATTAACAGGTCGTGTGTGTGCGCAGTTGTGTGCTGTTTGTCAGACTTTCCTCAATCTTGGGTTTTGACAAAGAAGGAAAAATAAGGTGCGAGACCTTTGTCATTTTTATCATTATATACAATCCGCTACTGCCCACACAAAAGCATTTAAAGGTCAGGACATTAGAGTTGATGGATACAAGTAAACAAATTCATATTTTCAGAGACACCTCTTTAAAAAAAAAAAAAGATGTTGGATAACTTGCGGGGATGCAGACTTAAGAGTTGAGGTGTCGAAGCTGTGTGAGATAGCCTGTGCACAAACTTATTTATAAAACATGATGAATGTTGGGTCTAATAATCACTTGATGGGTTTTAAATCCCATCCTCTGTGGAGGAATCTGAACGTAATGATTGGTGTTTCCACAAAAAAAATCAATGTTTTGTTTTGTTTCTGTTTACAGGAAAGGAGGTTGGAGAGACAGTGATGTATTTTGGCTGCAGGCATAAGAATGAGGATTATATCTACCAGGAGGAGCTAGAGGAAGCAGAGAAGAATGGAGTCCTAACACAGCTTCATGTTGCCTTCTCCAGAGACCAGGAGCAGAAGGTATGACTGTACCTCACCGCTGACCAGCTGTGATTACACTTAACTTCATGCCTGAATGGACACACGTAGTCTTTTCACTTCAGGTTACAACAAGGTTTAAGTCTGGTTGTGTTTGAGGGGTTGGGGATTAGCATTTAGTTGTGATGGTAAAGTTTAAGGTAAATTCACTGCAACTATAATCTTTTCTTTTTTCCCTCTCCACAAATAAAGGTCTACGTGCAGAATCTCCTGAAGAAAAACAAGGAGGACCTCTGGAAGCTGATTCACTCAGAAAACGCTCACATCTACGTCTGCGGGTAATTCACAAGTTTTATAAGCATTAAATTAACAATTCATTGTCACATAACATAAATGAATGAATATGAGATTTGACCATTTAATGTTTACAAAACCAAACTGGAGAGAAAGAACTATAAAAAATATCATTAAGATCAACATTTTTATGGAAAGCCAGCCTCTTTGGTGTTTTTGCACCTCCTAGTGGAAGAATAAGATACAGTCTTTTTTCATATAGTTCCATTGCTTGACTTTACATAAACACTGACAAACGTGCTTTTGCTTCTTTATTTTTAAAGGAACAATGTAATGAATCCACATTTGTAAGCATGTGAATTGCATCCTGGAGTGATAAAATAGACAATAGTTAAAAATCAATACTACATTTGTTCTTTAAAAAGGTATTAGAACGGTCCTTGAAAAATAATATCAGCACAACCAGAAATTTCTGAACATTACATTTAAATGTGCAATTAGATAAGGGCCTTTCTAATATTTAATTGATTAAAGAAATAATTTAATTTAAAATAAATTTTGGTCCACCCTTGAAAATGGGATGATACATCTCAAGGGGTTTATCCCATGATAATAACATTTCTAAAAAGACACCTTCACCAGACATCTAAACTGATCTCTTTCCTTGTTCAGGGACGCGAGGAACATGGCTAAGGATGTGCAGACGACCTTCCATGAGATTGCAGAAGAACTGGGCGACATGGTGCGCACCCAGGCCACAGATTATATAAAAAAACTGATGACCAAGGGACGCTACTCACAAGATGTATGGAGTTAAAGAGCCTCAAACCTCAGCTTCATTCTCACTACTCAAGTGGTGGTTTTAAACATTTTCTTTTGTTTTTTTTATTGTATATCTTTAATATACACCCATAATAAAGAAACTCACCCTGGTTCATGAAAAACTACAGTTTGCAGAAGATCATGAGGCAAACCCTACCTCAAGAGGTTGCATTGAACCCATTCAGCAATTTCAATCTGTGTTTCCTATTTATGTATCTTATTACTATCCAGCAGCCCCATATGCACAGACGCATATGAAGGAATCAATTTGTGTAATTGGGTGTTCGACTGCAAAATCGCATCACTTGGATTAGATACAGGAACCTGCTGGTTTGAGTAAAGTCATGACACTTTCATACTACGTTTTAATAAGACACCTTTCTATTCAGTCAGATGATGACTGATTTGTAAATGCATCTGTTTATAGGGACAGAGATGCACCAAGTCCAAACTCTGTAGGAACAAGAATGAATTCTACTGTGAAAATAGCAATCTCAGTTGAACTTTTAGATTTGTATGCCCTCGTGAAGTGTTTCTAACTGATAAACAGATTGATGTAACACCACAGCAGATAATATCATGTGTCTTAGTTAATATAATGGGCGTTGCGTGTTCCTGCTTCCGTACGAACACTCAAGCTTCAGATATGAAAGGATGTTGACATTCGTTTTGCTCAGAGATTATCTAGTTTTAAAAGTCCTGAAAACTGTTTTAAAAACTTCTGTGAGGAAAATATTTTGTTGTGGCAAACTGGCAGCATAGGTACAATGATATGTTTACCTTTGTATTTTGACCACAGATTTTTTTTGCCTTTTATGCATAAGTTGCTGTTTGTATTAAACAATAATGGAAATCTTTCAGGGGCACAGAAAGTGGGGACTCATATATGAAAAAACGTAGTTTATTTACATTTAGTTTCCCTAAAGAGACTGCCTTTAAGCACAATGAAAATGAACTGTAGGTACTCTGTATCATTTGTCAAATGTTTGAGGTCCAGTCTCCTAAATAGCAACAGTTAATTTTATATGCATCTGAAGGGTTCAGAGTCGACCTTCTCTGTTTGGCATTTTTTGTATTTTAGTTTTATTTAGACTTATCACATATGCATCACTACCTGGAGAAATCCGACATATCAAACTGTTCTGTCTCGCGGTTTAGCCGACCAGTTAAAGTGCAGCCTGTGCCTTTTCTTTTTAACACTGCCTTATGTATACCTTAGCATCAGAACCCTGATGCATCTAAGTCTTTTCAGAACTTTTATTCCTTGCTAAATATGTTGATATAATGCCCAGTTAATTTGAGACACTCTCACTGTTTATCATTCCTCTCTATGGTGTAATTATTTGATTGTATTAAGGCATGCATTTTTGATTAATAAATTTGGAATAATTTAGTGCGTTAATGGATTTTTTTTTGTAAACACGTTAAATTAAACTTTGAGGTTAAGGGAAATCTGTGAAAGAGTAACTAAAACATTTTAAAAAAAACTGCCTATCTCTTCATGTTAAAGAAAAATCTAAGTCCGCCCGTGATCCAGCTAATCTGTCCAGTAGTCTTCCAGCAGAGGAATTTTTGATAATAATGATTTTATATTTTTCAACTATTTATATCAAGTATGGGCGAAATGCTGTGTTTCTGGTGTTAATGACCTAGTAAATATCTCACAGTGTGGTTGTGGTTCTGTGCAGATCAGTGAATGAGTTCCAGTGGTTTTTAACACTTAAGTTTGAATCTGCATATTGAATCCAACTTCTTTAGTCAGTCCTGACAAGAATATTTAATATTTCTGTGGTTGTTATTGTTGTAAATAAGTAAAAAAAATCAGACCAAGGGTGAGATTTGATCTGAAATGATGCATAGATTCATTGATAAGTTGAATAACATCAAATGAATGTGCAGCTGTGGGAACTTGTCTTTTTGGAGCGTTGGGTTGTATATACATTGTTGGCTTAGCAAAACTTCAATATAATAATATTCATTTGCACTTAAATTGTCATCAGCTTATTTTCAGGTGCTCAATAACATTTTATTGACATATTAGCAACAGTTATTTTGACGATCAAACCATTAAAAACTTATCTTATTGTTTCCTAATGGGGTGACCCAGATTACATTACTTTGTTCTCTACATTTAGGCTCTGCCATAAATAATGAGGGAGGTTTTTAGCTTCAGATCATTAGGCTCTTAAAATCATGTCCACATTCTCCCTATGTCCTCCTTGGGTTTAGATGTCTCTCTTTCGCCATACACACTGTGAACTATAGGTGGCGGTATTGCGGGTGAGCGCCGAACGGGAGCAGCTTGTTAAGGAGGCAGAGGAAGAAGGAGCATAAGGGAAGTGCCGCAGTGACTCGAGCTCTGTTCTCTGCTGCGTTCATGTCGAGCAGGGTTTTTATCAGCTAACAAACAGACCCAATCCACCTCTTTTAACCTATATAACTATACCAATAGAACAGCGCACAATGGCCACTGGTAAGTTACATCATATATATTTGTCTATTTCTGCTTTGTGGTTGTTTTTGGGTCTGATAATGGAAAGTAGGTCGAATAGCGCTGCAGCTAACTTAGCTACTAGCCGCGAGGCCGCAGGGAGGGCCCCGTCTATTTCATGGTGCGTGTTTCATTAGCAGAGCCATGTTAGCCGCATGGAGCGTGTGGCTAAGTGTGTATTTGTTTTCAGCCAGTGATCACATTTTGCTGTTGTTGTTAGCCACAGTTGCGCGGAAGGTAATGAGAACATCGTAGACTTAGCCTGGCCGTGTGCTGGCTATTTGCTGGAGGTGTCATCTCGATGTTTCTTTGTTTACAGCCATGCTAATAATGTGTTGCTAATTGAGCTACATTCAGCGCTGCCTGAGCAAATGCAGTGTTTGCTGGTGACGGCGATTAATCGATGGCTTCGAACGCAACCCGACGTGTTGTGTGCGCAGCGTTTGCTCAGCGAATGACGGTGTTTGGTTTCGTTTCAACATTTACGTCGAGCCGAAACCAAATTGACCGCCATTTTTACAGACCGGCGTGGTGACGGGCCTGTCCCACTACTCTCTCTCTGACTTCTGCCCCGCGGCCGTCACTGCTCACCTGCTGCTTAGTCATCTTCATACCTCGTAGACAAACACATTGTTGTCCTCCCGGTTCAGCAAATAATCCTCCACTTATTTCTCTTTCAGACTCAGGCTACGGTCAGCATGGCAGCTCACAAAGGTAAAAACCTCACTTTAACTGTTCACCTATGTTTTTATATTGTCACATAACTTGACACGTATTCTGAACCCTGCAGATTTTTAACACACGGTTAATGCAGCAAATCACCAGAAGTAGTTCATTAATGATCTCTGCTTATATGAAACATTTAAATTGAAAACATGACGATGGCATGAATGAAACAACAACTTCACATTTTCTTTGCCTTTGTTTATTTGGATAAATAAAACACTCTGAATTATCTCTGCAGTCCTATTTTACTATACAACGTTTAATTTACAGACTGTTGACGATTATATTGAAACTTTCGTTGTCAGACAAAGTTTGGGCTCGTTGGAACAGATTTTCAAAGACTTTGTATTATATAATTTTGTTGGGTATCAAAGATAATACCCTCAATCATAGAATATAGTATAGATCGTTCTAATGTACAAAGGTGGTTATAATAACATTAATAAAAAAGTGGCGTTAGACCCATCTGATTTAACTAGTCCAAACCCAGCAGTACACCATCCCATCAGAAACACTGCCTAACAGACTTAAAATGTACATATTTATTAGTACCCAGATTAAAACTTGAGGCACTTTGTGATTGTAAAGTGCAATATATATTAAATGTATTATTATTGTTGATGCACTTAAAACTGGAAGCTTACTACTTTCATCGTGTGTTCTGTAGCTATGGATCATATGGCGGTCAGCCAGGCGGACAGGTAAGATTCTTCTCCGAACACCTTGTTGACTGTAAGCATTATAACGTCAAACCGGTTTTCACTCTTTGAGTATAACTTGTCTTATCTGACAGGGTTATGGACAAGGAAATGGCAGTGGCTCTTACAGCGGACAGAGTTATCCTGGCTATGGACAGCCAGCTGCGACACCGGCTGCGACACCAGGCGCCACGCAAGGTGACCCAAGGAGCAATAACTGGCCTAAAAGCAACTTATATCTTTTTATTGATATTATTTGTAACATTGATGGGACCCGGTTGTGCAATTTTACTTGAGGCTAAGATTTGTGACATTTGATAGCTTTACAGGATGCATGCATTTTTTGATATTAATTTTTAGAACATTCTGTGTTTCTCCTTGTGTCAAGTGTCCTTGGGTCACTTGAAATGCGCTATAAAAATGCAAGCTATTATTATTATTAGAATGGAGTTGTAGTAGCGGAGGTAAAGTGCACCCAAAAACGTTTTCACTTCACCTCCGGCTGCTTCACTGTCTGTGTCACTCCATGTGAGTGCGGGCGGGGCCGGCTGAGGGTTTGTGAGTGTAGACTCTGTCTCACTGTCAGAGAAAGAGAGAAGTGGCACTCACTAAATGTATGTAAATAAATATGTGCGTCAACACAATAATACACAATTTATTTACGTCATCAAAATTATCGTATGATTAGTTGATTTTGTAATTATTGCAACAGGCCTACTCGTTATGAAAAGTTGGCTCAGCAGTGGCGGTCATATTTCAGCAGGTGTGCTGCCACTACTAAATGTATGTAAGGGCAACACTGACATTATTTTGTAGGGTGATGATCGTCTAGATTAGGTCTCAAGCTTTTCCCTTGTGATTTTAGATATAGACCACAGGGCAATATTTAATGAGTGTAATGTCTGAAAAGAAATTCCTCAGAATTTTAAACTTTCCTTTTGACTTTGATTTCTTTTTTTCCCCATAGATGGTTATGGTCAGTCTCAGCAACAGAGCTATGATAATTATGGCCAGGAATCATCTGGGTAAGACACTAATATCATATTATTGAGTGACCTTTTTACATTTTTACTGACATTTTGTGCAGTATGGCTGAATAACAGTAGAATGTCTGATATTCTCAACATCCTAATTTATAGGATTTTGATAATCATTAAGCAATACAATAATATACTATAACAGCAGTCATGGAAACCAGCAAATCAATTATGCAATCTAGTTTAACTTGACTAGTTGCTAATGTTGTCTTATGTGCCTCAACTGATCGTGTTCAAATATTTGTTGTCTCAGTTGTGCCGACTTTAATGATTTTTCTAAAACCACTTCAAGGTATAGTGACAAGTCATCTTCTTATGGGCAACAAAGTTCCTTTGGTGGTCAGGCACAAGGAGGAGGAGGAGGAGACAGTTACGGACAGCAAAGCTCCTATGGCAGCCAGGGGCAAGGAGGTGGCAGCTATGGAAGATGGAGTGAGGGTACGAATGACTGGATCATATATTAAATAGGGCGACTACGTCCATGTTCTGTGGGCGCCCATGAATGGAACAGCTTTTTTAACAATTCAGGTTGTGGTATCCTCAATAAATCTGTTATGGCACCAGGTGAAGGCGGTGGTCAGGGTGGAAGGTTTGGACGTGACCAAGGCGACCGTTCAGAAGGCGGGGGCTACAGAGGTCGAGGCCGTGGTGGCTATGATCGCGGCAGCTATGACCGCAGTGGTGGCTTCGACCGTGGCAGCTATGATCGTGGTGGAAGAGGTGGACCTTCTGGTATGGGGTAAGTTGCACAGTGCCACTGCCCCTAAGGTACCTCCCATACACTGAGATATTACTTGTTTTTGCACAGCCCATCACCACATGTTGACTGCAAACATCCACATAATTGATTTCACTAATCTGCTCCAGATTCTAGGTCTGGTTCTTTTTTCTTTTTTTTCATCAAAACTTGCTACAGATCCTTTTCACTCAGATAGGAATTAGGAATCACCCAGATTCCTAAACATTTCTTTTTCTCTCAAATTCTGGTCCATGTGAAGTTTTTACAAAAGAGACATGCTGATGTAAAACAATCACATTATGCTTATGTTGCCCATAGGTTGTGGTCAATAGGAGGTTTCAGCCATGATTGAGGTCTTAAGTTAATGGAGACTGAACATGTCTGCTCAATTATGAGCTTTAAAGGCACCAGTGACACAATTCTAGAACAATATTGTCCCAGACATTGGCACAGGTTTTGTTTATTCTGGAATAGAACAGTTGTACGTTGATCCAGGAAGAGACAAGTCAAATTCAGAGTTGACATTTTAACTGAAATGCAAATGTCTTGAAGTTAGATGGATGATTCTGGAAATATACTGCAGCACATCAAATGTCACTTTTACCTTTTATTAAGACATATAAAAATGTCACATCTAAGATTCAAAGAGTTTCTTACCAAGGTTACTGTCTGCCCCTGTTCCTGAGGAACTAAATTGTTTTCTTGATATTTTTGAGACGTCTTTGGTATGAAGCCCTGCTTTCTGGCACATCATTTAACAATGTAAAGCCAAGTGGTATTTTTGTCTTTAAACCAGAGAATATTTCAATACAGCAATAGCTTCACTCGCACTAAATAATTTGATCATGATCTTATCAGCAAGAATTTTTTTTTGCTTTCAGTGTTTTTATCAATCTGCAGCTGAACTATTTCAGCTGAACACAAACTCAACTGTGGACTGTTTTGTTGCTCTAACGACCACATTGCGGTTTTTGAACAATGGAAACGCCACTGAAACGAAGCCTTTAGACCCGGAGCCACATCTTCAGCTGCTTCACATTCAACAGGTTTTATTGAAGTGTTGTATATTTGACAATGGCCAAACATGTGTGTTGTGTTAACATGGATCTACATTTTATACTACAGGTGTTCAGAGTGATTGAACTAAAACTTGGACCTCAGTTAATGGATCTCATAAACGCAAAAAGTGGAAGATTGCTTATCAGTCGCTACACCCCTTCACACCAATTTGGCCCCTCAAAAAAAAAACCAGGCTGGTTTTACAGCCATTGGTACCCAATCTGGTCATGTAAAAAGAGAAGGAACCAAATTACTTTGAATTGTGACAGCCTGATTGTTCAGTCAGAGCTTCCCAGTCTGTTCATTGATCTCTAATGTCAAAGACTAATGCATTCCTCGTGTGAGACATTTCCACCATAGTCGCACACCCTGGCAGGAGTGCATACTGATGGGGATGTAGGGGAGCTTTGAGCTCTCAGTTGGGACAAAGGAAAAGCCATCATATCTCCAATTTTTCCTCTGCAGAGGTGGTGACCGTGGTGGCTACAAAAATTACGGTGGTAAGTGACGAGCATCAGAACTGTGTCGGTGGGGGAAGAAAGAACTTGAGTTAGCAGAAAAGAAAAAAAGTGGGATTAAAAAAAAAAAAAAACTCAGTGAATGCCACCATTTTCATGTCCAGATCCCAAGGGACACCACCTTGTTATTCTTGGCAGGATTTCTCATAAATGACTTCAGATATGGTAAAGAACATGGAGCCTGAGTTGTAAAATAATGGTATTGTTGCATGAAGACAAGGACTGATTGTAAATGACAGAGGTGTTCCCAGGACGAAGAAGGAAAACTTTCTAAAACTGGAGACATTTTGGTGGTTTTCATTTCTGGTGTAAGCTCAAAAAAGCAAAAAAAACAGAACAACTTTGTTCTTGTTGCAAGGTGTTGGTATGTGATGCAACGGTAACATGGTAACACCCATCAGAGAGCTGTTAACACGGACCTTTGTTTACTTTTCTGTTTATCATTATGCGTTGATAGGGATGAAGTAATTACAGTAATGATTTGAGTGAAACCATGCAGCTTTTAAGTTTCCATGCTCAAGTTTTTCCCTTCCATCCTCTCCTCTGTTTAACAGGCTCTCGAGACTACGGCTCAAGGGATGAACCAGGTGAGGCTGACAGTCACTGTTGTCTGATATCTGGATGTTTGTCTTCCTGAATTATCTCCAGATATAATCATTCAAATGCGGTCACTCCTGATGTATCCTCTCCTTTTATTTCTTCCACAGCTGGAGAGGTGGACAACTCCGATAACAACACCATTTTTGTCCAGGGCCTGGGAGAAGATGTCACAGTTCAGGAAGTCGGCGACTTCTTCAAGCAGATTGGCATCATCAAGGTATTTCCATTCACCCATGTTTTTATTTTGTTACCATGTAAATGGCGTTGAATGCTAAATCCAAATGTGCTTTCAGGTGAGCAAGAAGACTGGACAGCAAATGATCAACATCTACAATGACAAGATCACTGGTCTGCCAAAGGGAGAAGCTACAGTGTCTTTTGACGATCCTCCATCTGCCAAAGCTGCTATTGATTGGTTTGACGGTGAGCTCACTGGCATATATTTTAAGGGTGCTGCCATTTTGTAGAATTTGCCTTTCAAATATAAAGAACACAAAACGAGATCCTAGTCAGACACATTAAAAACAGGAAAATGTCTGGAAAATTCAGGCGAGGGTGGTTTCCTGCACGGAGATCAGTTTTGTGTTCTCATACAGGCCCCTTTCTGCTCAGAAAGCAGATTGAATGTTTGTTTTTTTCTTTCTTTCTTTCTCAGGCAAAGAATTCCAAGGCAAACCCCTCAAAGTATCATTTGCCACCCGCAGAACTGAGTTCACACAGAGAGGAGGTGGAAGAGGAGGGAGAGGAGGTGGTGGTGGAGGAGGAGGAGGTTTGTTCTGACTGAGCTGTCCCAGGGCTCAAAAACAGTTTCCAAATTGAGGTACATTGCGTTGGGTGATTCTGCTATATTTTTGAACCCTTCTTTCCTTTGCTTTTTAAGGTTTCAGAGGTCGTGGTGGAGGACCTAACTTTGACATTAAGGGAGGAGACTGGCCCTGTCCCAACAGGTTTGTAGGAGCGAGCTTCTTGTCTTTGTGAATAATGCACAGTAGAAAATGTCTCATCCAGCCCTATTTATGGAGTTTGGTGGTTTTATTTATCAAATGTCCATCTGTTCTCTCTTTAGCTCTTGTGGCAACATGAATTTTGCGCGGCGGCAAGAGTGCAACAAGTGCGGTGCACCTAAACCAGGAGATGGAGGTTTTGATGGTGGTGAGTTTTACATTTTTTGTCCACTAGCAGAAGCTGTTGATCCTGAAAACGTGCAAGATTGAAAATATACTGGAGAAATTTCATCGAACATTTCAATAGGCCAAAAGTGGATAGTGATAACTGATTCATATTTCCTCGTTTAATGGCAATCCTCACTTTTTTTGCGCTTTGTAGAACGTGGAGGCCGTGGAGGTTATGGTGGTGACAGAGGCGGCAGCTTCAGGGGGCGTGGAGGGTTCCGTGGTGGAGACCGTGGAGGCTACGGAGGTGGTGGAGGAGGATTCGGAGGTGGCTACAAGATGGGGGGAAGGTTTGTGTCACATTTTTCACATTTCACATAAAAGCTCGACCTTCAGCAAGTCTGAGCCTGTTTGATGTTTTTTGCCGTTGTTGAAGTTTGACTATATGACCAAAAGAGGGTGTAGTTTGCCTGCTACAAATATTGAATTTGTAACTGAAAGACATTTTGTGTTCCAATTCTATGCTATCTGCATACAGCATGTATTGTATTTTTTGTAGTGAGCTGTTATTGCAGGAGCTATAAAATAATCTAACTTTTGTACACTCAAAGTACCTGCAGGTTTTTAAAGGTCTAGAATTATTAAGTATACTTCCCTAAATTGTATTTACAAAATAGTTGGCGTGCAAGATGCTATACCTAGTCTTTTTTTTTTTTTTTTTTTTCTCCCTTCCTAGATTTCAGTTAGCATCATTCTATCTGTCGTAACCGTGCCACTGATCGGAAACTCCTGGTCTCGCAATTAGCAAGCAAAGATAATTACCTTGCTGAATTATTCATTTTTGATTGGTTAATCCATCCATTGATTTTGTCTTCCCATGTCTCATTAATTGTTTAAGAAAGAATGTTTACGTAACACTGGGAAGAAATTACAGATTTGATTAAATAGATTTATCTACATGGTTTTCCATCATACTTGATCACTTTGGCCAGTAGAAGTATTAACTTCAATTCTACTCTATTATAAAACTATATGAAAGAAGATTTATAATATTGATGCTGTTTGTCACTGACTACAGAAACAAACCTTTATTTTACTAATAGAAAAGCTACTTTGCATTTAATGTGTATTCTGTTCTTAGTATATTTAGTCATGTCACTTCAACTAAATTTTCTAAAGACCAAATTCCAAAGTGTAAATAGTCTCAGCACCAGACTCAAAAAAAAAAAAAAAATGAGAAAGATTTGACCAATTAATCAAATATGTAAAGTGTTGTGTAACTAATATTCCTGCTGCACCTTCACGAAACATCCTTCACTCTGCGTTTTCCTGGTCCTTACAGGTCTTTGTTATTTTAGCACGTCGTGATATATTGCTGCTCACTAAAGGTGAAATGCTACATTAGTAAAGAGGATTGGTGAAGGAAGGATGATGTGCCTAAAAATGTTTTTAATCCATTTAGAGATTTAGAATGGGCAGGGTTGGAACACTGTTAATTCAATGACAAAAGTGTGACTCTGTCTTTGTCCCCACAGAGGTGACCGCAGAGACGACAGGAGAGAGCGGCCATACTAAGTGTTGAACAGATGGAAACCATTCCAGCCCTTCAGTTCTCCAGTGAAAGAGGGGGGGTTTAGTTTGGGAATGCTTGATCAGATTCTCATTTGCGTGGCTGGTGAATCCCAACTGCGCCCCTTGGACGTGTGGAGTTGATGTGGAGGGACTCTGGGGCTGATTGGCTCCTTTCAGCATGTGGTCATTTTTCTTTTCTTTTTTTTTTTTTTGTCTCATTTCTTTGTACATCCTTTTTAATTTTTCTCAGATTCTAGCTGCAAATGTTTTGTGAGATAGACTTCGTACCATTGTTTTGTATGAACGAATAAAATATTTTACTTGGGTTCTGTTTTTTTGTTCTTTCCCAAAAATGATATTAAAAACTGTGATCTTTTCTTCCTGCTTTCTGTGGCTTTATTCCCATCACTAGTGTATCTGAGTTTCACCCTTGACGTCCAGTAATGTTCAGTGAGTGATGCCTGCTCTCCGCTGGGGTTGAGCCCTGAGCTAAGCCGTTCAGGCGGGGGAGAGGGGCGGTGCTGGCCCTGCCCCTGCCCCTCTCCCCTTGGGCTGGCTGCCTCTGCTCCGCCACTGCCCGGCAGGGATGGAGGTGTAGACGAGCAGCAGCATGCTCCCACACTCTGACAGCGAGGAGAGTCTGCAATGAGGGAAACACCCGGAGCTCAGCAGAAATGCGGAGCGGTGCAGGGAGCGGGCTGCTGAGAGCGTGTTCCTCCCGCGATGAGACGCAGAGGTCCGGAGAGGCGGTGTGGAGCCGGACGGGACATGAGGGCGGCCTGGATCCTCACCGTGAGCGCCCTCATCGCCGCTCACACTGCCGGGGGATCCCCGCTGCTCCCAGACCCGGAGGTAATGAGTGCCACAGAAGTGACATGGTTAAAAGCGGCGTGTATGCGCACAGAGGTTTTATTATATGTTGAAACTAAGCAGATTATGATTAAGGAGGAAAAAGAGCTCTTGTGTAAAAGGATGTGACCTGTACTTGGTCTTAAAATCAGTTTTGAACAGAGTCAGGGTTCGACATGTTTCCCATCGTTAACTCACCAGAGATTTCTGTGTATGTTGGTTGCTAACTTGTTATTGCAGGTTTTTGTGTTGCGTCCGACACTTGTTGTTTTCACATTTCAAACTTTTGCTTCACTGCCCCTCTCCAGCAGGACTCCCTGACAGGAGAGAATCCTTCCTGGTAAAATAACGGATAGCTACAATTTGACTGATAATCGGTTTGAGTTCACATAGATCCTCCTAAACAACTTCAAAATCATTCTTAACATTATATTATGACGAAAATGTATTAATTGTAGGCCTATTACACACATTTAATTAAATTGGATTCAAGACCAATAGATTGTGTTGCTTTTGATGCAATGCTCCTAAATCCTACATTTTTTTTCAATGACCGTGTAGTCATGAAGTTTGAGAAAAAAAAGTTTGCGTGGAAAAATAACAAATTTGTGTAATTGTCCATAACCATGAGCCATGTTATCACGCAGGATGGTCTCTCCCCGTCTTTGTCCATGACTTGTGGAAAAAAGATGAATATACACTTCACATGCACAGACCAGAACGATAAAACATGCTGCCCCCTCCATCAAATCTGCAAGCAAGAGAATGGTTACCACTACACCACTTTAAAGATCAAAAGTTTGAATTCTTTATGGGCTATGCATTTAGAAGTATATTTGCTATACATACTATATATACAGAAGTAATTGACAAAGACATGTTGGGAATATTAAACATGACTAACATCAGAAATACATATTTTGAAGAAATAATGGTTAATTTTGCAACCATTTAAATTTCTATACACAGATGAAATAAGGGATTATGTCCTTTTAAAATGACAACAAAGCTATTAAAACATTTTCAAAAAATCAATCAAATGAAGCTTCTGTTGAACTATTAGATGGATTTCCCTGATGACTGAATCTGACAATACATTCTTTCTTTCAGAACCTGAGCAAATGTAACATAAATGTATTTCTAGGCACAGAGGAAAAGTAAATGCTGTGTTGTCTCTGTTTTTTAATTTTTTTTTATGCCATGTCAGTCTCATAGCTGCATATAGACACAAACAAGGGACCAACCCCACTTTAATAAGAATAAACGACTATTTTTGGTGGTTTGAGTTTTTTTACAGTGATAATTGCTGCACATATTGAGGACCGCACTAGTTTAATTGGACAGTTGTCTTTGCAGGTCCTCCATAGGCTCCACGTTTTCTTCTTCAAATCTGTGTAAAGACCACAAACTGCAGCATCAGTCTATTCCCAAATCTTCACTCTTAAACTTAGATAAAAAAATATTCAACCTTTCAACACGTGTAATGGGACAAAGGGACATCTTTTGTTGCACATTCCTGTTTGCCATGCACAGCTGTCCTCTCCTCAATTTTAATTTCCATCCCACCTTCACAACATCTGTAATCATAGCTGCTCCTGCTGTTGTCTGAACACGAAACCTGCTCCATACACATAAAGATTGCAGTATTAAACCATCAACACGACTGATCTTAAACCACAATGCAACAACATCTGTTGTCATGTCCCCCGTTGGCTCATTTCTTGTTTTACTGCATTTTATAGGTGTTCCTCTGAACTTCAGAACTGCTCCCGAACTCCTATGTCTGCATGAAATTCTTGTGGAATAATAACTATGAATTTTCAGGGACACCCCAGGGGTTTCTTTCTCCTATGGGTGGTCCACATGTATACATCTGCTCTAGGCAACCTACAGCAGATGCAGCACAAATGGAAAATTATCTTTACACCTTAATAACTTTTCTTTTTATTCTCACTGGGAGTTTTGCCTCTGTGGGGATTTACCCACGTGTGTTTTTATGAGAAGCATGTGAGATTGCTGGTCTGAAAAAACCTGCAGCTATTTGTCCAAAATGACTTCATGAAATGTTTTTCAACAGAGAGGAAAGTTGTTGATCAAGAAAATAAACTTTTGACCTGGAGTTTTCTGATGCATCATTCACAAGTATGATTTCATTTGCAGGTTTTTCTGGAGAAGTTCGGCTACTTGCATCACGACAACCACATCCACAATGCAGTGGAGGTGCAGTCAGCCATCCGGTAAGGGATTCGGCTGTTCTTCACCTCGTTAAGCTTTTTCAGCCTTTTTTCTCAACGATGTCATCCAAGGTCCTAGAAGTGTGATATGATTTTAGAACAAAGTGAGGCGTGTTTGTTTCTTTTTATGCTCTGCCGGGCAGAGTTAGCTGGTTCAGTGTGTTCACCTGGGGGGAGGGTGCTGTACGTCAGTGCAGGGCAGTAAAACACACCCTCACCTCTGCACTGGAAAAGCTCCCCTGAACCCTCTCTGAACCATGCAGGAATTTAAAGAACCTCGCCCTCTGGCCCATATACTGACTGTACTGTAATGAAAACGGATTGAAAAGCCTTGCTGGAGACCTACACTGAGTGTTGCGTTAGTAAGCATAGAGTTTGTTAAATCCTCATCTTTCATATCAAGCCATTTCAAACATTTAGAACACACTTGATGTGTGCTCTGGTTGATGTATTGCTGCATGTCACTGGTAATTAACTGGTAGGTAAAGATCATATCCACAGGTCCTCCTCCAAAGAGTCTGCCATGTTGCACCACCATCACTGGCTCTAAACAGAGGGTCTATATGTTTTTACATTACCTGGCGATCAAGAACCTTTAGCTTCACTTGTGTGAAATATATCGTCCATCTTTACATACAGAAAAACCGAACCACTGACAATGTTAACATGACTTCATGACAACAGAATCCCCGATCAGCTTTGATGCATCTGGTACAACTGACTGAGAACACAAACATCAACATTCAATAGATCTTTATTTGCTTTGAAACACAGTAAAACATCATATTGTTAAATCACAGGAAGTATTTTAAATTCCTCGATGTAAAAAGCCAAATGCTTGATCAGCAAGTGTTTCATAAACAAGTGTTTCCTCTCTGCAGTGACTTCCAGTGGTTGTCCCGGCTTCCGGTCACAGGTGAACTTGACAGCGCCACCCTGAGGCAGATGACAGAGCCCCGCTGTGGGATGTCGGACGAGGGCAGCCAGCAGATCTGGACAAAGAGAGTGAACGCCATCTTTACCGGAAAGAGGGCCACAGCAGGGCGGCCTCAGAGCCGCAGGAAGCGCTATGCCACACAAGGTACTGTGTTTGTGAGGCACCATGTTTGTATGTGGGTTTTTGAGTTTGTGCATCAGAGCATCCTAACGTCTGTGTAAAGCAACAGATAAAAGTCAGTGTGCTGTAAGTGGAGGTTTGTGAGGGGTGTCGTATTGTGGTGAGGTCATAAAGAGAGAACAATTAACAGGGAGTGTCCACCTTTGTAAACTGAAGCAGTAGATGGAGCTCAGGGTGTCATTAAAGCTGGTGGAGCGTCTGATGTGGCACATGTCTGCCGGGATGATTCCTGCTTTTAGCCTCAATTACACACGTAAAGATTTCAACCTCAGTTTTGCACACTCGTCTATCCTTTGAGAAAGTCTTTGAGAAAATTTGACCCACTGGACGAACATCAGGGCTTCACCAGACAACAGCAAAATATCCTCCAACTGCAGCACCTTCTAAATCCCCACAAATCTTTGTAGCTGGTTTATGTTTTGACCAGTGTTGCCACTTTTTTGATTGTTCCCTCAAATTTCCCAAAAATCTTGAGGTTTCCACCAGATATCAGGAATTATCCTAATTTTCTAATCCAACAAACACAGTAAAACATTTATCATCGAGCATATCCCTTCAATTTGACTTTGCTAACAACAGCAGGATTTGAAGTGTTTAAAAGCTCAGCCAGATTTCTTGCAGACTCCATGAAGTACTGTAATTGAGCGCAAGGTCCCGCATTTATCCAGCATGCTCTTCCTTGACGCCTCCCCTCACCTGAACCCTCTGGAGATTTTCCTGACAATCTCTCCTCTTATGTGAAAAGACAAAGTGCAAAGACAATTTTGGGAGTCTGCAGTCATGCTGTGGCTCTGTGAGGCTGTAATGACACATCTTACGTTCTGTGTTAATAAGAATCAAAACATATTAGATTATTCATTTCCTCTTGAATGTAATTTCTATCCATAGAATCATGACGAGCATCACAAATGCTGTGAATCCGTCATGTTTGGATGCCAGTGTAAGTTTGCACAGCCGGGAACAACACTTGAAACCAAAGCTCCATTGTTTATGTTGTTGTTGTGTCACTGGGAAATCAGAGAAGTAGAAGGTGACGTAACGACGTGGCTCTAAGGCGGCTGCAGCCCGTGAAAAAGCAAACCGCCTCTTAAAAGGTTCACAAGTTGAACCAGCTCTGAACCATGAA